AAAATTTCTACTTTTTAAAATATATTTTTAAATGTTCAATTTGTTCAAAATGGACAAAAATTGTAATTAACATGTGGTGTTGCTTATGTTTTCTGCTTTATATTTTATGATATAATCTAATTTCTCTTTTTGTACATTCTTTGAGTTTACTTTATTCTTTTCCTATCTGCTTAGTTTGAATTCTTTGTTTAATATTTTTAATCTTTTTGATATATGACAAATAAAAAAATATATTCCTAAATGCATATTTTAGTCACATTTCACAAGATTTAATAGGTAAACATTTTATGTTATTTAAAAATATTTAATAATTGGTTTTGTAGTTTTGTCTTTATTCATGAATTATTTAGAAATATTTTTAACTTCTCAATATATGAAAATTTTTATTCTTTGTTGTTAATTTTTTATTTTATTTCCTATAGCCTAAACAATTGTTTTTAATATCCTAATTCTTCAGAATTTGAAGTTTTCTTTTTGTCATATGTATTAGGTAAGTTACTGTTATCTGTAAAATGTCAAGCTTAATGAAATGTATTTTTTAATCACAGGAATTCCAAAACAAATATTCTAACTAAGAAGCAGCTTCAGTATTTTAAGATATGCCTGTATGTAATCCACTGCCAGATAGGAAAAAGCCTGGAGAATTTTCCCTGAAATTTATTTGTGCCAAGCTTGGAAACAATTTTATCATTTGCTCACACATTTCATTGGTCAAGATTCAGTATGATAAATCAACTAACATTAAAGGAGACTGGAAATGTAGTCTAACCAATTTTCAGGAGGAGAGAGATTAACATAGGAAAAAATGAAGCTTTTTCAAATATTATAAATGCTCCATAACCATTAAAAAGTAGAAAAAAATATTTGTGAGGTACAAGGTTTAGTACATGTTTAAGGTCTTTCATTGTATTCTACATATCTGTGAACGTTTAACATCTTTTCTTTAGATTTATCATATTCTAAGGGAAATGTATTAAACTTTCTATTATGATTATAGAAATTATGTCAATGGTTTCTCTCTTTTTCTAAATCTTCAGGCTACTGTTAGTCTCACACAATTTTATTGTCCTTTACTATTCTGCTCTACTACTGTTGCCATCATATTCTTCAGTGCTTTTTTTTTTTTCACTTTCCAATAAGCTTGCCAAATTGTCTTAGGTTTATTCCTTATGAGGTACTTGTAGTTAGATTTCAAAATGCTCAGTGTACATTTATTATTTGACATTTTTTCTAATCTACTCATCTGTTATTATTTATTTATTTATTTATTTATTTATTTTTGGTACCAGGGATCGAACTTGGAACCTTGCACTTGCAAGGCAGGTGGCAGAACCACTGAGCCAAATACCTGACCTTCATTTGTTATTATTATATGTTGCTCTGTCCTGTGCTTTGCTTCTATACTTTGTTTTTTCTTCTTGGTTGCTAGTGTTGAATCAATGGAATTTCGTCTATTTTGTGTCTCCATTTTTATAGATGTTATATAGTCTATTTTTATCCCTTACAAGCTACATTCTAATATCTCATAAGAAAGTTTAATGTTATTATATGTGTGTGCACATGTATGTAACAAAGACCTTGGCAACTACTGCTTTTATTTAAATACCCTTGCAGATTTGTTTTTACTTTCAGCTTGCACTTTTTTAAACACAAGTACCCTTTCTTTTGGACCTCAAGCTTGTTCTATTGTGGTCAACATTCAATTATATTATTAATATGTTTATTTTTCTTCTGCAATTCTACATTTAATTTCTCTTTTCTGTCTCTGTTACATAAAATTTCAATAACAGAGTTGAGCAAGGTCTGTGGAGAGAGGTGACTAGTTTATTTATCTTGTGATATTTTCCTGGGTATTTCCTCCTTATTTTCCGAGGTTCTTTTTTTCTTTTTTCTCTGTGGATAATATTTTATATTTTTTGAGACCAAGAGATAAATAGATCATATTAGTGATTAAAGTTCATCTAACTTATTTTGAGATATTATAACTAATTCATTAAAGAATTTGGGATTTAACCTGCTCAAGGCATAAATATTATCTAAAAAGATTTGAACCTCAGAATTTTCTCAAAAGGGCTGGATTTTTAAACTCTACAAGGTATGTAAGTATAAAAATAAATATGTTGAAAAGTGTTCATAATTTTTAATTCTAAAAGACTCACATCTAAATGTATATATTTGTGGGTGGTTACTTGTAAGTGTTTAAGCTTGAATAAAAGTAATGTAACATATATCATAAATTGTTAACTGAGTTTCCCTAGATTTGATGAGTAGATCAGCAGAGAGGGAAGATGGCAAGAAAATATGTCATTGGCTTGACTGTAGAAATCATTTCACTAGGTATGTATATAGTAAAACATCATAATGTATACCTTAAATAAATATGAGCTATGGTCAAACTATATGGTGAATGTTTCATTTAAAAAATTATTACAGAAAAAGACACATTGACATTAATCTACCTGAGAATACTTCTCTTTACATTGAGCACACTTACCCCATCATTCTTGTCACTTTTTGAAACAGTTGTGGAAGTATTTTTTTGTATTTTTTAATTGCACTGTCCTGGCTGCCTCCGTGTCCTGAACTGATTCAAAACTGTTCACCTTTCATGGTCATGTTGATTTTGGGGAAGAGCCAGAAGGTGCATGATGCTAGATCCAGTGAATAAGGTAGATGAGGACACACTGTAATATTTTTATGAGCTTGTTTTTCTGTTGCATGGACTCAGAGCAGCATTCACTATATTTTTGATCACATCTCCTAAAGCCACTCACCTAGGCTTCCAGGACTGCTTCAAAAAGTGTGAAGAAGTGGTGCACACCTCTAATCCCAGCACTCTGGAAGCTGAGGCAGAGGATCACAATGAATTTGAGGCCCACCTGGGCTACATAGTGAGTTGAAGGCCAATCTGAACTAAATAGCAAGACTGTCTCAAAAAAGAATACAAAACAAACAGACAGGAAAGAATGATGGCATGGTATGTTTAAAGTGAGGGGGTATATTCTGAGTGATAGAATGGCAATGTGTCTTACTGTAGCAAATTTTTAAAAATTAAAAACTCTGTAGTTTTTGATCATATCATATACAGTAAGATATATATTGAAATAAAATACTGCACTAAAACAAGGAAACACAAAACCTTGCACAAAATCTAATAAATCGATGATCTCATTTAGATAATTATTTTTAATTAAAAGGGGAAAGGAATGAAAAAAAAAGAAGCAAGATATATCATGTTCAGATACAAATTCCTTACAAGAATGTTATCATTATGTGTATCTAAAATGTACCAATAAAAATTTTTGAAAAATAAAACAATGTAAAGATAATAATTGAATATGAACAAAATTAATATATCTTAATAAGATTTGGAGGAGATGAACCTTAAATCAATGAGAAATGGTAGCTGTCTCACAGTGCTGTCATCTGGGAAATTTTTATCCTGAATTTCATATTTACCACCTGAGAGATAACAGTGTTCAGGTTTCCTCCAAATGCATTCTCATTTATTCAATGTCTCATTAATGTAGCAACAACCATAAGTGAGCATTCTAAGAATCACAGTATGTGAAACAGTTGTGAAGACCTCCATCCACCACTGAATCAGAATACCTGTAACAATTTCCTGCTGGTAAACTGTGGTGTTTCTCTTCTGAAATAAGCTTCCAGGGAAAAAAAAGGGATAGAAAGTTCATGAATTTTAGAGTTTATAAGGCTTGTTTTATTCCAGGGTTCACCGTGTACTAGCTGTATAACTAAGAATATGTTAAAGCAATAAGCCCAGTTTTATCATCTGTTCATTAATCTATCATAAATGTATATCTATAAATGTCAGTATCAATCAGATGGTTTGATAAGCCTAGGTCAGCCACTACAGTACTGTCGCGGGTTAGTATCTGCAAACTTAAGACAGAGCTTTTCTGTATTTTCATACTTACAATGGAGATAACACCATTATTATGAGATTGGTAGGAGAATTCAATTAGATAATAAATGTAAAGCACTTATTAATGTGCTAAGCATATAAAATGTATTCAATGGAAACAACTAAAAGTAAAAAATTAATATTCAATTTTATCTTGTAACACAAACTTAGAAGAACATGATTGGGACAAACCTTGTTTACTTAGAACTAATATTTGGACTTTTTCTGTGCATATGTATGGGTTTGTTATACCATAAAGATTGAATAAATGAAGTGTGATAAAAATATATGGTGAATGTTTAAATTAAAAAAAAGATTACAAGGCACATTGTCATTAATCTTCCTCAGAATACTCCGCCTCACTTCAAACAACTTGTGTCATCATTTTTGCCACTTTCTGAAGCTTTCTGGAAGTTTTCTTTGAATGTCTTATGAGGTGTGATAAAAAATATGGTATGCTGCTGCTGAGTGTAATCAACAGAAAAGCAGGTTCATAAAATCATTATGGTGTATCCTCACCCATTTATTCAACAGATCTGGCACTGTGTGACCTCTGGCTCTTCATGAGTAGATTTTGAATAGATTCAGGACATTGAGGCAGTCATGACAGTACAACTAAAGACACTGATGGAAAAGGACTCCAGAACTACTTCAGTGGCAATGATGGGATAACTGTATTTGAAGTGAGGGGGAATATTTTGAGGGAGATTAGTGGCAGTGTATTTTTACTATAATGATTTTTAAAATTTAAACTAATAAAGACATAAAAACTAGGCTTAGAAACACAAAAGTCATCTTATTTACAGCCATAAATGAATTACAAATAACACATTCCTCATTATCACATACCATATTATCTTTTCTATACACTGCAACATAGCAGTATTACTTTCTGCACAACTCCACGTAATTCATTTACCCTCTCATTGCATATATTGCCTCAGGATATCAATAAGTATCTTCCCTTGAGAAACAGTATGTTGTATTTCAATTTTCAAAATATGACTATCATCACAAAGAGTTCAAGTCAAGTTTTCTACACTAAATCAATATTTAAGAGAACCATGAAAGATCTCTATTTATTTTCTAGATCCAAAGTACTTTTCTCCTCCTTATCTGTCTTCTTCACTAATTCTTCAAGTTTCTTTTCCAAATATTGCTTCAGTGCTCTTCATGCTGGTTTCATTTTCCTCTGATGAGTTATACAGATATAGTAGCTAGAGTTGAGAAAACAGATAATTCAAACTTTAGTAGTAGTAGCCCCACTCTTTTAAAGAATTATGCTTACTTTTCCAGATACCTCCTCTCATTTTCCTTATGTTTCAACTATTATTCCATCAAATATTCATTGCTTTCCTCCCTGTCAACATCATAACCCAGATTTTGAAATAACTTCTTTGTCTTTTTTCCAATGGAGTAGAAGGAAGTTAAGGCAATATCTTTGGCAAAGGAATGGTAGACCCAGAATTTATATGAGGAAGAATTTACTCACAGTAATATAGCACTTGAAAATACTACAGCTTCTGTCAGTAATAACAAAAATAGTATAATCTCTTGATTCTCAGCCTCCCTTGGATCATCTTCCAGATGGAAAAAGGTGGGGGGAAGAAAATGAGTTTTGGAGGAAGGAAAAAGTAACCAGGGACCTTTATCCAGAATAGACTCTTCAAACAGTTTGCCCATTCACTGTTTTATTAGGATTCTTTCGACTTGTATTTTTAGACTCCTAGATATTGCAAAACATTTACTCTAGCAGACGCTACCCAAAAATTCCACTTCTAGTCTACCTTGTCATTTCCAACATTCTCAGTCAGCCCACTGCCAAGTTATCTGTGCTGGTACAAATTTTGCCCAACATTTTTGTTCTTATTTCATGGCATAAGTATAAATGACATAGAAGGTACTCAATAAACACTTGCTGAATAAACGAGTTAACAACTCAAGTTCTTGATCTCTGGCTCGTCAAATGGCCTCACTACAATCTATGTTACCTCCACAGTATTCTCCTTTGAAGCACTGGGTGGAGATGCGAAGACAAGTCCAACAATCAATGATGGGACCTTCAATCACAACTGATTAGAAGGAAAAAAATAATTACTAAGGGAATATAGCAGAGGAGTTCCTTAGTTGAGACATCAAGTGTGGATTAGATCTCAAGTGAATTAGATTCCAGGTACTCCCAGGACTCTAATGTTACATTGCTCTAAATTCCCTTTTCTCCTGTTAACTGAGTTTGTATAAATTAAATTGGATTTCTAAGGAACTTGGAAAAATGATGCCCAAGCTTATATTGAGGCAATAGATTGGAACCAGTAGAGGAGGGCTCTGAGCACATTCTAAATCTGTGCATGCTGAATAATATAACCCAAGTTATTTCATAAGCTCAATTTTTGTTATCAGATATTATTAATATTGCCTTATGTAACCATAGTTCTGGGAATTGGTTTTCAGTACAGCAGATGGGAGAGACAGAGCCACACAGAGCAAAGGAATGGGAAAACAACCCGAAACTTCAAAGTGTCACATGTACTGTATTCATTGCAATCTTCAGAACAAGCTAAAAGAAAAACAAAGTTCTAATGAGCTTAGAATAAACTTAGGGATCACCTTATTTATACCCGAGAAGTCTTTTTGGATCCATTGAGTTCCAGCTATCCCTCCACCCATTCCAAATGTCTATTATTGGAACCATCATTCCTCCTCTCATCCCTCATTTTCCATTCTCTTCAGAAAATTTCAGTGTTGATAGAAAATTTCAATTACCAACCTCAGAGAAGTCCCTTAGTGTTTCTTTCATTTTGGATTCCAGGTTTTGGCAGACATCAAGAAGTTTGCCTTGAAAGATAAATGTACCTAACACAAAATGAATGGAATTCAGATATTAGTGTGCCTTTCCTTTCAGAATTTAATTCTAGTTGTTTTGTCTTGTTTATCCCAGCCAAATTTTCATGGATTTGCTTTGGCAATACAGACTTTTGTATATGGAAGAGAACCTCACATTTCCATGTTTCATTGCCCAGTCTATAAAATTCATCCTTCAGCCATATTCTCAACTTGACAACTTTTGAAACAGCTAGAGAAGGAGAAAAATACTTGTGAGGGAATAATTAAGCCCATGGAGGAAATTGTGTGGAACCAGTTGTTCTTTTCCCTGTCTCCCCTCCATTAATCCCCTCTAAACTCTCAGAGACTCAAGCTTCCCTCACCTAATACCCGAAGTATCTTGTCCCCGTGGGAGACATTGAAGCTTAAACGAACCATCAGTTTAAAAATGCCTTTCAAGCAGTTGAGTTCTGCCTGGGATGTCCAGGGGTACCATACTTGCCAGCAAGGTCCTAATATCCTCTATGAATTTGGGGTCACACACCAAACAGCCTTTGACCCCATGGAAGGCTGCCAAGGGTAAGGGCAGGAAGAAAACTAACCACTAGTTGCCCATTTCCTTCCCCCACTCCCTTCTAAAACAGCATATTATGCTGGCAACTAGTTCACTTAGTTCTTTTTCCTACAAAAGTCCAGGAATGAAAGCCTTGTCCTGGATGTTCTGAGTTCAATTTTCCCTCTCACTTTTAGAAACTCTCACTTCCCTAAGTATCTTCTTTTTCTTCATCCTAGAGAGAGTGAGAACTGACAGCTGGGGAGTGATTATGTGAGTTCTGAGTGTAGAACACAAACAGAGGGAGAAGCCCGAGTTCACACAGCAGAGTTCTGTGTGAGGAAATGTCTCAGAACAAGTTTCCTTAGCTCTCTCTGACCTGTGTTGTTAGTAGATTTCCACTCTCCTCCTGCCCTCTGGAGTAGTATTCCAACAGAGATGTATGTTGGGAGAGATCTCATAGTACCTTAGAAATAGTTTAACACAAACTGTATTTCTATAAAGGAGATAAGCCAAGAATATTGAGCCACTTGAGTCTCAGCCCATACTGGTAGCAATGGTGTTGAAGAATAATGAATGGGAATCTATATACAACAACAAATGATAATTTTGATATAGCTGATAATTTCTCAGAAATTTCTGGCTACATTTGTCTGGGGGATGATTCCTTCAGCCACACTTTGTAACATTTTTATAGCATTCTTTTTAGAGAAACTAGAGCTGGAGACTAGAAATAACAGTGGAGGAACAGACAGTGATGGATGGGAAATCATTAATGTGTAGGGACCTTTAACAGATGCATCATGAAATACTAATGATGGAGTATATAACAAATGGAATATAACCGTGGTTATCATGGGCTGAACTCTCACACTTACACAGAAGTTGGCTAAATAAACATGTATTTCCTTCAGTTTGTGATTCTTTGAACAAGAATATGTCTTTGCTGACTTTAAAAAATACTGGTTACCTCATTTCTAATACGTTGTTTGTAAGGTTATTATATACTAGAGTCTGGAAAATCCAGGCACACAAAACATTTAGTAGCAAAATTTCAACCTATGTTAAGGATAGTCATGGAATGAGAAGTGGTGAGGGAAGTTAAAAGAACTGCTGTTAATTATATGGCTGTGATGTGAACAGATACTGTGCCAAACTCATTAGCTAATTTACCACAAGTCCTCATGGCATATTAATGTGTTGGGGTATAAGTAGAGGTCTACAGGAAGACAGCACAGCATTGACCAAGTTGATAGAAATTTCTTACAGAAAACCTGGATCCGGAAGACTAGAAACAATAATTACTGAGTATATTGTGATTAGTAAGAATCCAGTAATGTTCAGAAATACTCAGTGGGAGTATTCTGTATGTGCTGATGATGGATGGAGTGATGATAGAACATAAAATATTCAAAATTATCATGAGATAAGTTCTTAGAATTTTATGAGTGTAAAATGTTTAAACTTTGGGATAGAAGAGCTGTCTGGAAGTTGATTAATAATATAATCACCTTACTTAATTAAAATGACAATACTTATATCTCAGAAGCAAAATGCTAAACCTGAGTTCTGGACTGATTATGTTAGTATTGGTTTAGATTGGCATGAAAAGGATAGGATTTATAGTCTGTACAAATGTATAGAATAGCTGGTTAAGTTCATTTTTCAAAGTATCATAGCAAATGTAAAATAATGTATGCACCTATATTATACTAAACATACATATGTATTTGTGATTCTTTTTTTTTCCCATTAAGCTTATTGGTGCATTTTAGATATAAAATACAGTTACATTCATCATTGGGATCTTTTACCATTACATGAGTATCTGAATTCTATTTTTTTCCCCTTCCCTTGCTCTCCTTTCAACCCTTCCACCCTTCCCTATTTGCAAACTCTTTGTTTCCATTTTTTTCCTTTTCTCATATTTTTTATTTTCCTTTTCTTCCTTTCCCCTACCTCTCCCACTTGCTCTGCTCCTTTAGACATTTTCTTCCCATTAAACAATATCATTTATACATTTTTAAAATTACAATATCAAGATCTCGGAGACATTACCACAGATTTTACAGAATTTAAAAGGATATAGAAAGCATATAACAAAAATCTCTTTTGAAATAAATTTGACAACTTCTAAGAAGTACCTTGGAAGGCAAATTAATGAAACTAAATCTGGAGGAAATATAAAATTTGAATAGCATCTATTAAAGAAAGTATATTCCTAGCTTGAAAACCTACCTATATGACAACAGCAGGCTCATATACATTTT